GGGAGGTACAGATACCACCCTAAGAGAAAATGGAATTAAGCTTTTCGTTTAGTCCAAGAAATGAAAGTAACACTTTCTTTAGTTTAAGAAAGGAAATATTAGAGTATATCAATTGGAATATTGATATGGATATATGTATTGTTATGTAGATATAGAACGTAATCCCGTTCCGGAACAATCAAAGAATTAGGATCAAGTCAAAGCAAGCAAGGCTAAGGTGAGTGCAATTTAATTGTACTTATGTTATTGATCAAGCATTGGCTTGCAATGAGCCAGTGATGGAGTTACTACAGTAAGAAGTGACTCCTAAAATGTTATATGATTGATGTGATTCTTATGTGTGCATGAGTACATGAAAATAGGTATATGTTATTATATGTGACATGACCTATAAGATTATATGAATAGGCAATATGTAATATATGAACATAAGAGATTAAGTGAATGAATATAGATGACATATATATGATGATATAAGAGTAAGATATTAATTAAATGATATGTGTTATATGAGAAATATATGTGAAAAGGATAATATATATATATGTTTAAGTGATTACATGCAAAGTGATATGAACTATGTGCCATATGAATGTGGAATAAGCTATGTGATAAGGACATAGAGAATGAAATGAATATGTGGCAAAGAGTTATGAGAATATACAAGAAAGTTTATGATATAAGATCAATGATTACACGTACATGTGATATGTGACAGAAAAGAAGAGATATGTGTTTATAAGAGAAATGATGTGAATATGTGAATTGTTATAAATGATAATGCCCATGTTATGTGATATGAGAGCTAGTGGTATAGTTGGCATGCCAAGAGTCGAGGGATTACCTATGTCTTTTGGGACATATGGATAGTATTACCTATGTCTTTTGGGACATATGGACAGTATTACCTATGTCTTTCGGGACATATGGACAGTTTACCTATGTTCTTCGGGACATATGGACAGATTATTATACGAGCTGTGGTGACAACATAAGTGTGCACAACCTCTATGTACTCACATATCTTTGTGTATCATGGGCTAATAAAGAAATAATAACAAATACAATATATGTGATAGATATGCTTTTATATGATATGATAGTATTAATTGTTTATGCATTGATATGAGTAGAGTAATATCATGTGTTTTCATGCCTCACTAAGTCAACGACTTAGCGTGTGATCGTTTTACACGTAGGTTTCGAGAAGAGGAAGATTGATAAAAGTTATACAAAACAGGTCAGTTTCTCCTTTCCACAGATCAAATCAGAAAAGAAATTAATAGATTGTATTTTGTAATATTGATTGAGGTTGGCTTGTAAATAAAGATTTGAATTCGATATATATATTTTAATCGGTTTTGTAAAATCATATGATTGAGTTTTGTAATGTTTTAAACGTATATATGTAAATGGTAAATGTATAGTGATGAACGTTTTACATTTTATGAGTTTTTAATAAGTGGACGAAATTACTGTAGCAAGGGTATCAGTACACTGTAGCAGGGTATCGATACCCCTGCAGCAGTCTGGAAAATTTTTAGAATCGGTACTGTTCATGGTATTGTTCACGGTACTGTTCATTACTATTTAGTACTATTCATATCGTATATTACTGTTCATTGAAAACGTATTTTTTTCAAATTTGTTATAATGAAATATAATTCAACAATATATGATCATATTTTCTTAATATAAGTCCAAACGTTTTGTTATTTTGTAAGGAAATTATTTTAAAGAGTCAATGTGACATCTTGAACTCGTTTTCGGGTCGGGTACGGGTTAGGGTGTTACATGGAGTGCATAGTGCAGTCTGATTTTGATGATAGCACCGAAGAGCTTATTGTGCAGTCTCGTCTGACTCATGTACCTTGCATTCTCATAAATATGCATTGGGCTATGAACTTGAAAATAAGCTATGAATCTAAAATAAGTTATGGGTCGAGAATGAGTTTTGAAATGTGAAAGTATATATTATGAAAATGAAATTTGAAAGTGAATATGAAAGTGAAAGATGAAAAATGAGATATGAAAGTTTTGTATTGTATATGAATGAAAAAGAATATGATATGACTATTATGCATGATATTTTTTATCATGCCTTTGATATGACTATTATGTATGATATTGTTTATCATTGTTTTGATAAAATCATGAGATGATGATTTTCAGGTCCTTGATGTGGAAAAATGGCTTGAATAAGTCGGTTTAGATATTTAGTGATTTTATTAGAATTTAACTTAATGTTTTAAATTGTTATGATATTATTAATTTTTATATCAGTGAATATGTTGTTTAGATTTTGTTAAGCTGTTTGATATTTATATAACTTTAGTTTGTTTATAATGCATCACTAAGTGTATACTTAGCGTGTGATGATTTTCACGCGTAGGTAAAAAAGAACAAGTGAAGTAAAGAGCTGAGTGGATATAAATATGTTATTATGGATATAAATATGAATTTAAGTTTTGTGTTTTAGATAAAATTATATTTTGACATAGTAAAGAAATATTTTAAATTAGACAATAATTAGACAGTTTATCTTATGATATGGAACATTATAGAATTGTCTAGTCGTTGCCTGAAACTGATATTGATTTAGAGGCTTAGATATTATAATATAATTTTACGTGCTTACATTATTTATCGAAAGGAATAAATTGGATAAATTATAAAAGTTCAAATTTTTACTGAATTTTCAACCTTAGAATGTATGTAAAACTATGTGATATCTTTGACTCGTATTCAGATATATATACGGGTTAAGGGAGTTACATATTAACAATTTAAGTAATCGTTAAATAACTCGGAAGGTTAGAGGGAGGGGTTTGAACTTTGAAGAAGAAAACAAGTTGTTCATTGTTTAATTTTAAATTTTTTTATTAGATAAGATATGATCTTTCAAACATATAAAATATAAATTAAAATCAAGTTTACATGTATCAAATATATTTTTATGTCATTGGTTTAAAGGATGATTGTTACCTCTAAAGGTTCTGAGTTTGAGCACGATGTCCTCAGAAATATTTGAGCACTCATTATTAAATAATTGATAATCTTTCAAATGGATATTACCTTATAACCGCGTATAATAAAAAAATATGTATCACACACTTTTGATCTGTCATAACGTGTAGCTGTAATTGATTTTATACACAAAAGCCAATGAATCATGTGCTGGTTTCCCTTGAAAATGATAGAAAATCTTGAAGATCATGGGGTCATGGGTTTAAAGAAGAGAGAGAGAGGTAAAGAGCACATCTTCGTGTGGTCCCAATGTCATAGAGAAGAAAGTCAAATATATCAACTTTGCTGCCTGCAAACTTGAAGGGACATGTGAGTATGGCATGGTTTCTTTTTTCTCAAACCACAATCTTAACCAATTACTACTGCTCATATATGTGTGTCGATCAATAGCACAAATAAAGCTTGTGATTGTATTTCAGATATGAAATCCATAACCCTCTCTTTTCCGTGATCATATCACTTTGATTTGATAAGGGAAACTCTAGAAAAGGAGTGGAGATAGATAAGAATAATAAACAGAAAAATAATAAATTAAAGGTGGCGAACTAACTAATCCGACAAGTTTGCATGTGTTGATCATGCGGGTCGGCTAGCAGGTTTTTATTTGTGGTCCGCTCTACCTTCATCCAATAGGGTTATTTTGTAGTGATTGGGCCTTAGACTAATAAAGTATTCTCCCTTTATCTCTTGCCTTCTTTATGTGAAGGCTGAAAAGTTAAGATTTTTTGGCCCAGTAGGCCAGACAGAAAAATTAGTTGGCCCAATAGGCTAGTTCAAAATTTATTTTGTAATCTACGACAAATGCTACAGTACAATGCAATGAGTTTGCCTAAATAATATTTTTTAATTAAACTCATTATATCAATATGACGAGTTCTAATAAAATATATTTTTTATTAGAATTTATCACATCAGGATGAAAAGTTTGAATAAAAAAACATTTTATTAAAACTTGTCACGTCGATGTGAAGAATTCCAAGTCACCATAGTAAATACCGTAGATCCTTAAATAATCTACTTTGTGTTGTACTGGACTAAATAATTAGGCCGCCTACAGTATTGAGTCAATTTTACCGAAAAGTTAATGACTCAAGCCCTGTTTAGTGATACTTGTATAAGATGGATTATCCAATTTAGTTTTCCTTTTTTCTTCTTTTTCAATTTTATTTGATTTATCATTGTTAATTTTCTTTTACTTCTCTTTTTACTCTCTTTTCTGAATCATTATTTGTATGGCTTCTGAGAGTTTGGCCCCTTCTATGACATTTCGAATTATTTTTGAAAAGATTAAGGTAAAGTTAGAAACAAATTACAGTCGGTGAATATTTTTAAAGATAGGAGGAGAACATTGCACTAGAGGAAATCGACATCGAACAATTTAAAGAGAAAAATTGTAAGCTATGTTGGAGAAGAAAGATGTTTACTAAATTTTATATAAAAATTTGGAACATTTGACCCTCCAAAGAAATTGTTCTCCGATAATATTCAATTATTGCCGGTGAAAGCGTTGCCACCATAGTCTTTAAGCTAGTAGAGGAAGACAATGTCGTGACTTCCCGTACCAAAAGGAAAGATAAGCTTGAGGTGGTTGAATCGAAATTTTTTGCGGGTGAAAAGTGCTATGATTACTTTAATTACTGCAAAAATAAGGATCATCTGTTGCACCGAAGGGTTGGAGAATCAACAAAAACATTGTTCATGAACGATCACTGTACAAGGCTATATCACGTGAAAAAGTCACAAATCAGAAGGATCAACGCACCACATCAATATTATGTTACGTATAACTACGAGTGACTGATTTATCGTAATCAATAATATTAATGACTAAATCGTTAATTTGAAACATAACTGGAAAAAAAAATATACTCAAACAACAATGGGCTATTTTATGTGGTTTACCCCTGGCCTTTCTATGGGCGCTTGTTATATTCGGTTTCTCCATCCGTTTATGCTATCTAGGGTTTCTGTTTTATTTTCTCTTACGGGACTGTCGAGGTCTGGAAGCCAGCCGCAAGGAATGCAAATACGATGAGCAGGCATCGCCGTCTTCGGTGATAGATGGCCAAACAGTGAGTTCAGAAGCCTGGGGGTCGCTTTACTCCATACATCGGCGGTGAGCCTAAGCGTGTTTGGTTCGGAAACGGCTTTTCAGGTGTTTTCTAATTCACTCTTGTTTTTTCTTCATTTCCTCGTAATGGAAATTGACGGATATGGATATGATGGCTTAAAAGTAAAAGGTCTGAGCAAGGAAGCTTATGGTGGTAGTCTGATAATGGTGTCGAAGGGAGAAAGGGAGAGGGCCCCGGTCCTTGTTTCAAGTCATTGCATTGCGGACTCTCGCAACCTCTCCTACAACAACCAAAGCTTCTGCTTTTAATAAGCATCGGCTGCGGGTTGAAATAAAAGGCGTTGGCTGCGTTTCTAGTATTAAACGCTGGCCTAGACTTCTCCCAACATTTCTTTCTTTACTTTCCCTTTTGGCTTTAACATTTGTCAACTGCCTTATTGCTTCCCTTGCGTTGATCAAACCTTCTTGGCTGATCCATTTTATTTGTTTACATTGTCCCTTTGTTGTTTCTTTTTTTTACTTATTTGCTCCTTGTTGACGATTTGAGCTTGTTATGATGTGCATGTTTTCTGAATTCGATGCATTGTTGCTTATTGAAGGTGGTGGAATATGTCGAGCTGGAGGAACAGAGGTGGTGGATTATGTCGAGCTGGAGGAACAGGGAAGTATTGCCGATGAATGGCTCTGGGGCATTTGTAGTGGAGATATTACTATAATCAAGAGTCGACGAGAACAGTTTTTGATATGCTTGTCCAATATGTGTTTTTTTTTTGTTAACATAAGATTTGCTTCTGTAAGAAGAATTAGAATGGGCAATACATTTGTTTCAGCGATCCTCTCATTTAATTTGCCTCCATGATGAGTTCATACAAATTCTCCTTTAAGAATGTGATGTTTACGTTGAGGAATCCGGGTTCTTAACTGTACTGACCGTAAAGCAGCCATTTAACCCATATTTCGGCTTTTTAAAATGTACCTGTGAGGTGTAATTCCTTCAATTTTCTTTCGTTTCTTTAACACATGATTATGAACCTAAACATTGGAAGATCTGGATGCTAATGAAATCCTTTATATAACCGAGACAGCTTTTTGGTTCAGAGCAAGTTCTATAAAATCTCAAATCTCTGTGTGAGCCAAAATCATAAAAGCGTACAAACAAGTCAATTTTTTGTAATCAAGTAAAAATCTTTACCCTTTATGATGTGCAAGTCTTTTTTTTTTTGTGTCCATAAGGTTTTCTTCAATCTTCTACTAAAGATGCCATTATTAAATGCAAGTATCACCCTTGGCGACAATAGCAAAATGAATGCCATTACTATGTGTTCACTCACAAAGCTGGAATATGAGATGGAAGTGAAGTTAATTTTTACTACATAACTGAGCCTTTAAAAAGAAAACATCAAGAACAAGATCTTTGAACCGAGTAACGTACCTTAAACTGGAACTGCTAGAAGACTCTTTACTCCTTTCTGACCAATCTCAACAAGAACTTCATCAGTGTAGGGCTTCAGCCATTGAACAGGCCCGACTCGACTCTGGAAGGACAGCATGGAGAATAAGTCTGAGCATAATAGTTATGAACTTTTTAAACAAAAGCAGAAACTTGGTTCTAAAACCCACCTGGTAAGCAAGAGTACGATCATTTCCGATACATCTGGCTTTCAGCTCTTTCATAATTAAGTAGATGCACTCCTCCATTTGATCTTTGTATGGATCCATCAGCGTCCTCAACATAGCTGACTGGTACCCCATGGGCACTGAAAAATATCATGACCTGAAGTTTTACGGATTATTAGAATTGCAATAAAGTCTATCAGAGAGAGACCATGATTCAAGGTAATCAAAGTATAATCAATGAATTTATGCATCAAAAAGTACACAAAGAAACCAAACTAACCTCTTAAGGCTTTGCAAATTTAATCAATTCTTTCTCAATTAAGTCTGCCATAAATCGAATATAACCTTGTCGTTGATACCACGAAAGAATGACAGAAACAGGGAGTCTCGATAAATATGCATCTTCCCTGAAATTTAACCCACAGCCGTTTATGAAGGAGACCACTAATGGATAGTTTAGTGTAAAACAAATTATCGAGACAAAGTGAGATAGTTGAAAATGCGTTGAAGAACTCGGATGCTGGACCCAGTTGTGGAGATGGAGAACTGAGGATATAGTGGCAGCACAACGAGCTTTGTTATTCTGTCCCGCTTAATCTGTTCCATAAAAAAATGAAAGCTAAGCAATAAATACTCGGTGTGCTTTGGAGATAGTTCATTCAGTGCTAAAACGGATAGTTACCTTATTAAAATGAGAATTATAATTTCAAGTTACATGAATTATGATGGCATAGTTATGATGGCATAGTCTTATAATGCCATGAACTTGCAGGAGGGCATGTCATTGTTTTCCTATATTACCGATATCCAGAGATGCATTGGACGTGGATACTTAGAAAGAGTCAATGCATTGTAAATTCTTTCTTTTCTTCACACATCCCATATTCTGCAAACAACAAGCTTCATCATAAAGCACTAATCAATAGCATGGTTCACTTTGGAAAGATTCATACAAAAAACAAAACCTTCAAGCTAAAATTATCCACCTGAAACAAATCCTTCAAACTAGAATTTCAAATGCAAATAACAACAAGCTTTCATGACACGAAAACACCATTCACTTTGTATCAAATACCCATATGAAAGAAAAGGCAATTGTTTCAATTCTATACAACACTAGCCTAGAAGGAGAAAGTAAAATGCCAATTTCTTCAAAGAAGAGAACTCATTTTACCTGTTCATCAGTGATTTTACGCAGAGGCGACCCACCACCAATGGCAGCATACCCTTCTTTGCTCTTGGGAGCTCGGAGAACAGATATCAACTTCGCCAGTGGTCCTTGTAGAAACCTTAATAGCCGAGGCAGCCGTATAATGTCCTACATAACAAACATTATCCATCAGCACACCATTGAGACATAACTTAATACCCATAAATATTTATACAAAAATCATATAAAAGTAGCAAGAAGACCAACATACAGGATTAGCAAACAAGTTATACAAAAATGGTTGAACATCGTTAAGAGTCTCTGGGCCCCCGAGATTCAAAAGTAGGACCCCAAGCTTCTCCTCCGCAGCGTGTGAGAAATGAGATTCCGCCACATTTTCGGGGAAGGTGCACACCCCCACCGCACAATTCGTTTGTAAGTTCAGATTTCTCTTCTGAATTGGTCCATTGCTGAGATTGCGTCCTTTGAGAACGCTACGATCTTGAGTATTCGAATCGGAACTTGAAATGATAAGGGGTTTCGATGAAGGTTTATCAACATCATTAAGTACCACAGAGAAATTGCGTGATGCAGAGGCTATATATCTGCGCCGAGGAATCGACCTGGAAACAAGAAAAAATAAGAAATTAACCAAGGCGTAATTTGGTAAACATTTAGGAAAGTTATTAGGATCTAAAACTTCACAAAAACCAAGTATAAACCTTTGATTAAAACCCAGAAAATACAGAGTACAATATGTTGACCTTGAGAATGTATCATTATAATTGCAGAGACCGGAACCAGATAAAGACGCAGCCTCCGTGGTTTTTGATCTGAAGACCTCTATTTTTTTCTTTTAATTGAAAGTGCAATAGAAAATTGGGTGTTAGGTGGATTTGAGAGAGATTCTTTTAAGGGTTAGTTGAGAAGGAAATGGCGAAATTTTGTTTATGACAATCGCAAAGTCAAATAAAAACTGCAGTCCCAAAGGCCAAACGTATTGTTAAAGTCAAACCTACACACGAGTATTGTATCCGGAAGGATAGACTAATATACGGTTAATATATAATATTATCAGATACATTAAAAAAATATTTGATAAATTTAGTTTAGCGTTATCGGAAATATCGAGTAATAATAATAATGTAATAGGTGAAAATCATGAAGAAATATTAAAAAATTTGGCAACCGGTAAACTTAGCTTATCGGTTTGTGTCCATACTTTATAAAAATATATTGATCGATAACAATATAACAAGTAAAAAAAATACAAAACTGGTCTATAAATGACAAAACAGGTAAAACGCTACCAGATATATTGAAAGTGTCGATACTTTATAAAAATGTATCAATCCATAACAATATAACAGGTAAAAAAAATGACAAAACCGATCTATAAATGACAAAACAGGTAAAGCGCTACCGGATATATTGAAAGTGTCGATACTTTATAAAAATGTATCAATCCATAACAATATAACAGGTAAAAAAATGACAAAATCGGTCTATAAATGACAAAACAGGTAAAGCGCTACCGGATATGTTGATAGTGTCGATACTTTATAAAAATGTATCGATCCATAACAATAAAACAGGTAAAAAACTGATAAAACCGATCTATAAATGACAAAACAGGTAAAGCGCTACCAGATATGTTGATAGTGTCGATACTTTATTATAAGTATCGACACTTTTGAAATTTAAAAGAGAAGAAGTTATAGCGCTAATAAAGTGTCGATACTTTATAAAAATGTATCGATCCATAACAATATAACATGTAAAAATATGATAAAACCGGTCTCGAAATGACAAAATCGGTAAAGAGCTACCGGATATGTTGATAGTGTCGATACTTTATTATAAGTATCGACACTTTTGGAATTTAAAAGAAAAGAAGTTATAGCGCCAATAAAGTGTCGATACTTTATAAAAATGTATCGATCCATAATAATATAACAGGTAAAAATATAACAAAACCGATCTCGAAATGACAAAATCGATAGTATAAAAATGTGTTTGTGTGGTCATTTTTATTTCAGAATTTTTATTTTTTAATATAAAAAGTTTGATATTTTAAGTAAAACCTAGTAAGAAAAGAACAAAAACTTTGCAGTAACAAAAGAATAACATTGGGAAACCCACCATGTTATAAGTTTCTCAAAGAACAAAAACCCAGAAATAGACATCTTTCAACGCAAACTTATGATATACTCTTATTATCTCCATATGATAAAGTTAGGTAAGTTTTAGTTTCTCAAAGAATAAATTTATAATTGAAGAACTCAAACTGGTGTACGCATAAGAGTCGATGCATTTATGAAAAGTATCGATTCAAAAAACATCGAAATCGATAATTATTATGTAACAGATAAATTTACAATGTAACCGATAAAAATATACTGGTTAATTAGCAAATAGGCTTACATTATGTATCGACACTCTTTAAATATGTGTCGACACTTTTTTCCCAAAATAAAAGCACAACGAGGTGCACGCATAAAGTGTCGATACATTTAAAATTGTATCAATCCCAAAAACATCAAAACCGATAATTATAATGTAATAGGTAAATTTGTAATGTTACCAGTTTAAATATACCTATTTAGTTAGAAAATAGGTCAATATAAGCGCTACCTATTACATTATATAAGCGCTACCTAATATATTATTGTACTTGATAATATTTCCAGTTAAATAATATAATATAACCGATCTAAATTTTAATCGATTACTTATTTAACAAGTCACACCAATTTTTAACCACTTTTTAGGCGCCGCACATCAAAATCACCCCCAACACACCAGAGTTTTCATTTGAGAAGTTTAAAGGGAGACCTTAAATAGGATGGACGCCTAAGCCTCCATTGAAGCTTCCAAGAAGGTGGAGTGAAGGCGGTTGAAAACTATTTGAATGACCACCAATTATAGGTTGATGGCAAAATGATTATTATTTTTAAAATTTTATTAATATAATCACTTAATTAATTAATCAAATTTAATACACCGTTATTATTTAATAGAAGTGATTATGTGACAATTAATAAAATAAGTATAATTACATATTTGATCATTAATACTAGTAAATTCTT